CTAATGTAAAATGTGTAAGCACATAATGGATGGTGCTGGAAGTGGGCCTGCTGTTGTATTGTTGCTATTTTACAGAAGACTGTTCTGGGTGGCTCAGTCATTAGGCATCTGCCTTCACCTCGGGTCTTGGTCCCAGGGTCCTGGGATGGAGCCCTGCGTCAGGCTCCCTGTTCACCAGGAAGTCTGTTTCTCCCTCAACCCCACTCCCCACCGCTTATGTTCTCTCTCTCTCGGTCGCTCTGTCTCTTTCTGTCAAATGAATAGATAAAATCTTAAAAAAAAAAAAAAAACACCTTTTTTATAGTGTTTTCCAGCCACATTTGTCATGTAAGAATCTTACCAGCTCTTTGCTTTTACTAGCCCTTATAGACGCAAAGTTCAACATAGATTTAGTATCTTGATGAACAGAGAGACCCTGTGACTTTGTGGACTCTCAGTACTATTTTGGGGTATAACAGGTGGATGGCTGTTGGGGAAAAGGCAGATATGTGGTTGGGGTGGGTAGGGACGCCTTAAATGGAATGGACATGTGCTCAAACATTAGTGAAGTTGCTCCTTCCTTGCCCACTTACAGCAGCAGTCAGGATTAGATCTTCCATGATCTCATGTTTCTAAGGCCATCTCAACACAGAATAAGTCTGTCTCTGTTCATTTTGCAAAAGTTGGCAACTTACATACGGGGTAACGTATAACAAGAAGTGCCCTGAAAACAAAGCACTTTAAATATACAGGATTTTCTTTTCTCTTTCTCTCATGATTCCACAGACTTTTCTTTAGTGACTGGACGTGTTCATGTGAATGTGTAGTAAGTGCATGTGTGTTTACACTTTGGGGAATTAGGGAAAGTAGTGCTTCTATAGTTTGATATGGGCTTTATACCAAAAACCTACCGGGGTGTTTTCTTTAAATTCAGGAAAAGAAAAATATGTTCTCTCTCATCACCACTGTTTAATAAAGTAAGAGGACTTTAGTCAATAATACAAAGAAAGAGATTAAAACTGTAATTTTGATAGATGATATGATCATCAATCTAGAAGAATCAGGGACACCTGGGTGGCTCAGTAGGTTAAACGTCTGCCTTCAGCTCGGGTCATGATCCCAGGGTCTGGGATGGAGTTCCACATTGGGCTCCTTACTCAGCGGGGAGCCTGCTTCTCCCTCTGCCTGTTGCTCCCCCTGTTTGTGTGCTTGTGCTCTCTGTCTCTCTGACAAATCAATAAATAAAATCTTTAAAAAAAATCTAGAAGAATCAGAATTAAAAGACAAATCATTAAAGTTAGTAAATAAATCCATTACCAGTTACAAGATGAACCTTACAAAAACAGCATTTCTCTAATCAGCAATAACCAGCGAGAAATTATAATTTAAAATATATTATTCATGGGGCACCTGGCTGACAATCTGAAGAGCATGTGACTTTTGATCTTGGGGTCATGAGTTTGAGCCCCACATTGGATATAAAGATTGCTTTTAAAAAGCATTTTAAAAAAATAATAAATGGGGGCGCCTGGGTGGCTCAGTGGGTTAAAGCCTCTGCCTTCGGCTCAGGTCATGATCCCAGGGTTCTGGGATCGAGCCCCGCATCGGGCTGTCTGCTCAGCAGGGAGCCTGCTTCCTCCTCTCTCTCTGCCTGCCTCTCTGCCTACTTGTGATCTGTCTGTCAAATAAATAAAATAATAATAATAATAATAATAATAAATGTATTACTTACAAGAACAATATCCACAAACATAGCACTCAAAAGAGTCCACAAATACTACTCTTAAGAATACTTCAGGGAGGGCGCCTGGGTGGCTCAGTGGGTTAAGCCTCTGCCTTTGGCTCGGGTCATGATCTCAGGGTCCTGGGATCGAGTCCCGCATCGGGCTCTCTGCTGGGCAGGGAGCCTGCTTCCTCCTCTCTCTCTCTCTCTCTGCCTGCCTCTCTGCCTACTTGTGATCTCTCTCTGTCAAATGAATAAATAAATTCTTTTTAAAAAAAAAAGAAAAGAATACTTCAGGGACGCCTGGGTGGCTCAGTTGGTTGGACGACTGCCTTCGGCTCAGGTCATGATCCTGGAGTCCTCGGATCGAGTCCCGCATCGGGCTCCCAGCTCCACGGGGAGTCTGCTTCTCTCTCTGACCTTCTCTTCGCTCGTGCTCTCTCTCACTGTCTCTCTCTCTCTCTCTCTCAAATAAATAAATAAAATCTTAAAAAAAAAAAAGAATACTTCAAAGAATACTTCAAACTCTAATAAAGAATATAGAAGATGATCTGAATATACGGAGAGACATTATAATGCCCTTGAATAGAATGACAATATTCTAAAGATGCCAGATTTACCCCATTTCTTTGACAAACCCAACTTACTCAGGAGTTAATATGGAGAATTAAAAGTCTAAATAGCTAAGTTATCTTTAAAGAAGATTTGAGGGCTGGTTCTACCAATATTAAGGCATATTACAAGGCTACTGCTATTTTTTAAAAATGGGTGTTGGTGTAAGAAGAGTCAAATATACTAGCGGATAGAATGGAGATTTCAGAGCAGACAGTCTATAAGTCATTGGAGGAAAGATGGATTTGGGGTGGATATAATGTTGGGGAAAAATGGTTCATTATTTGGAGAAAATAAAACAAAATCATTACCTAAACACAAACAGGTGGATTCTAGATGGACTAAGACATAAATATGAAAAGGTAAAGCAATAAAGTTAATAGGAAGAAGGGTAGGAAAACACCTATGAGCTAGGATGGGAAAAACCTGAAGTAAAACTTCAAAAGCATAAACTGTAAAGCAAAATAAAACCAAGTAAAGAGGGGCACCTGGGTGGCTCAGTGGGTTAAGCCTCAGCCTTTGGCTCAGGTCATGATCTCAGGGTCCTGGGATCGAGTCCCGCATCTGGCTCTCTGCTCGGCGGGGAGCCTGCTTCCCCCTCTCTCTCTGCCTGCCTCTCTGCCTGCTTGTGATTTCTCTCTCTCTGTCAAATGAATAAATAAAATATTTAAAAAAAAAAACAAGTAAAGATTAATCTGATCACTTCAAAGTAAGGATTATCTAGTCAGTGAAGGATATCCTGGACAAAATTCATATTTGATAGGATGGAAGAAGATGATTATAATGTCTATAACTAACATGGGATTAATTCCTTGAGTACGCAAACCAACAGGAGGACAATAAACCCTATTTGAAGAAGGGAAAAACAAAACAGGCAAAGGCTATGAACAGGTTAACAAAAATACGAAGAGACGTCCAAAATTATTAGTAATGAGAGACAATGCAAATTAAGTATGAACATATCACTGTGTACTTTAGTAGACTGGCAACAAATAGAAAGTTGGAAAATGCTGAGTATTGATGGGGCTGTGGGGACACAGGGATTCCTATGCTTTGCTGCTGGGAATATTGCGAAGGAGTTCAGGATAGGGCCCACCCACCGCCGAGAACGTGCCACTTTGGCGTGTAGGTTATTTAGAGCTGAAGGCACTTGAGAGCCTGCAGACTCACAAGAAATTTCTGCCCCTCCCTGAACCACACAGAAGAATCTAAATTAGGGGTCTTTCCCAGAATAAAGGTTATAAGCAAAGATAAATTTTATCTGAGTGGCTCATCTGTGTGGCAGGGCAAACATCTAATTACCAAACATCTGCTCTTATCACCCTGTGAAGTGTAACCCTAACCCGTACCCCCTTCTCCTTCATTTAAAATAACATATACCGGGACGCCTGGGTGGCTCAGTTGGTTAAGCAGCTGCCTTCGGCTCAGGTCATGATCCCAGGGTCCTGGGATCGAGTCCCGCATCGGGCTCCTTGCTCAGCAGGGAGCCTGCTTCTCCCTCTGCCTCTGCCTGCCATTCTGTCTGCCTGTGCTTGCTCTCTCTCCCTCTCTCTCTCTCTGACAAATAAATAAATAAAATCTTAAAAAATAAATAAATAAATAAATAAAATAACATATACCTCATTTTGCCTGTCTTTGGAATTTCCATTTTTTGTGGATTTGTGGATCCACATATGTACACTACACATATGTACACATTTGTGGATTCCCCATATGTACACTATTAAATTTTATTTTCTTCTGTTAATTTGTCTCATATCAATTTGATTCTTAGTCCAGCTAAGGGGACTTTAAGGAGGAGGGTGAGAATGCTTGCTACCTGACAATGGTCTAGTCTAGCCATTCTGGAAAGCCGTGGTAGCACTGAGTTAAACTGAGGGTGCACATACCTTGTGTCTTAGCACTTCTGCCCTGGGGTCTATTGTAAGGAGATTCTTTTTGAAGTCCATAAGGGACATGTATTCGCTGAAGCATTTTTGCTTTGTTTTTTGTTTTGTTTTGTTTTGTTTTTTCTGTGGTGATGAAAAATGAGGAGACAAAGTGAGTGTTTCCACTGGGAGAGCGGAGGTAAAATCAGGTGGATGTACATGGAAGGCTATGCAGTAATCAGAAGTGACTGATTAGATCTTTAGCTAGGAAGTTGGATGGTTCCTAACAATATAATGCTGAGTGAAAAAAGAAACAATGAGATATAAGTTGAAAATAGATGAAAACACAAATATAGATATTGTTAAGAACAAATACAAAATAGAGAAACACTATTCAGTGTTTGATTGTGAATCGATCAGTGAATGATTGCCATACGAGTGGGGAGGAAAGTGGGAGTGGGGTCAGGGGATTTAAAACAGCAGAGGGGTGCCTGGGTGGCTCAGTGGGTTAAAGCCTCTGCCTTCAGCTCAGGTCATGATCTCAGGGTCCTGGGATCGAGCCCCGCATAGGGCTCTCTGCTCTTGTGGGGAGCCTACTTCCCCCTCTCTCTCTGCCTGCCTCTCTGCCTACTTGTGATCTGTCTGTCAATAAATAAAAAAAGTCTTTAAAAAATAAAATGACAAATTTTTTTTTTAATTTTAAAGAGGGATAAAGAATTTTTGGAAAGTATTCCTAGTGATCTTTAAACTGTTGGAGCAAATGAGATGAGGAAAAGTAAACTTACATGTGGTAACTTTTGTTTTCCCAATTCACATAGGGTGGAAGCTTTGAGAGAAGCAGCAACTGCTGTTGAGCAAGAGAAAGAAATCCTCCTGGAAATGATCCACAGCATCCAAAATAGCCAGGACATGAGGCAGATCAGCGACGGTGAGAGCGTTTCCACAGAAGGGAACTCATCTTTTCCATTCCTTTATGGGGTTTAGGTCCATTTTCGCTTAACTTGAGGAATTTGTACAGTTGGCTTCAGCATTTCCCATGAGCGTGGACAGCAGCTGCAGCTGTTGGCTTATTACAAGAGCCACTTACCCAAAGGGCACCTTCTGGCCTGCCCCTCCCTCAAGGGCATGGTTGGAAATAGTCAAAAAGGCCTCCAAGGGGGTGGGGTTATGGACACTGGGGAGGGTATGTGCTATGGTGAGTGCTGTGAAGTGTGTAAATCTAGCGATTCACAGACCTGTACCTCTGGGGATAAAAATATATGTTTATCAAAAATAAAAATTTAAATTAAAAAAAAAAAAAAGGCCTCCAACCTCTGGGAGAGGTGGCCCCAAGCAGTAAAAGGCGATGCCTTTGACCTCAGGTTCACATTCCTAACTTCACTTCCTCAGAAGTTACTGGACTATAGAAGCTGTAAAAGCAGAGAAGACAAAAAGAGAGGGGTTAGGTGTAATTTAAGGGGAGGAAGGAGAGAAAATGCAGAGGAAAGAAATTATGGGCCCAGTAAAACCCCCATTAATATAAAAACATGCTATCATTTCTATATGAAAAGCATGACGGCCCATGGAGGAACAGGGCACTTGTGGTTTCCTCTCACTGGCAGTGTTCTTCCCAACCTGGTTGCTCTGGCGCCTCCCAAGACAAGCTGAGGGGCCAGTGGCTGGTGCCATGAGTGTGCCATTCATCTAACTCCAGGCCCTGAACTGTTAGACATACACAGCAGGGTCAAGATCTAGCCAGTCTGTTCACCGTCCTGGCCAAAGAGTGATGAATTAGGAAGAGAGTTACAGAACCAGGACAAAGAGGAGGTTGCTGACTTTTTCATATAAATAATGAAATGTGGATCCCTTTTCCCACATTGCCTCTCTGTGCTGGCCAAGACTTACACCACTGGCCTGCTTAAATTTCTCTGGCAAGGATGAAGTCAGTGCCTAATTCTGAGGCCAGCTGTTTCTCCACTCTCATGGCTAAGTTTGCTCAGCCAAAATTGGGGCGTTGTATTTGATTCACATGCAAAATATGCCACCCCAAAGTATGGCTTTTTGGCATAAGAATTATTTCAAGCTGATTATTTTTGAGAAGGTGCAGACGCAGGAGAAGCTCTGGAAACAGAGTAGAAGTTATTCTTTTATAAGGGAAGTTCAAATGTATAAAGGATATTTCCATTTGTAAATGTGCCTCCCTCTGTGTACCAGGAAGAGAAGGATGAGTGTAAATCCAAGAAACTCTTATCTCTGCAGAGGGCACCTCCTGAATCTGCAAAACAACCTTAACCCTGGTTTATCCTGCTTTTCCCAGTAACCTCACTCAGGAGGGGAAGGCCTCCCTCAACGTCTTAGTCCTTAGATGAACATGGTTTTTAGAAAGGTAGTGGCTTGGGCCATCCGTCTCAGGGAGGTGGGCCATCTCAGGGTCCTTGAAAATCTCCCATGTATATGTGAAATATACACATCCGTAAGCTTCTGCTTTTCTTCTTGTTAATCTTTTTATTACAGGGTTTCTCAACCAAGAACTCAGAAAGGTACAGGGGAAATTATTTTTCCTCCCCTACATGCACCTCCTTACGAGACATACGTCATGTCTGACGTCTTCTCTAACCAGCACAAAACCCTGGTCAGGTGCACTATTCACTCTATGTTAAGACTTAAACTCCATCCCAGTTACAGATGCACACACCTGCCCAAACTTTTTCAAATGTGACTACTAGAGAAGTCATCTGGTATCCCACGCATAAAGACTTAGGGAGGGGTCCCGGGTGGCTCAGTCGGTTAAGCATCCAACTCTTGATTTTGGCTCAGGTCACGATCTCGGGGTTGTGAGATTGGTCCCCATGTCTCACATGGGACTGAGCTCACAGGCTGAACATGAAGCCTGCTTGAGATTCTCTCTCTCCCTCTCCCTCTGCCCCTCCCCTGCCTGCTTGCAGGTGTGCATACTCCCTCCCCCTCCCTCCCTCCCTCTCCCTCTCCCTCCCTCTCTCTCTCTCTCAAAAAAAAAATAAAAATAAAAAAAGAAAGACCATCAGGGAAAGGTATTCTGCAACCTCTCTCTGTAATATAATACGGTTCATCAGTTAATCTTATGTGATATAATTTTGACTTTTACCTTTAAAAATTTCATAGCCGAGGCACTTACAGAAAATAGCTTTAGCCACAAATAAGTGCCTTTAGTGTTCTCAACATAGGTAAGTTTCTGTCTTATATTGACGGCTGTTTCAAACTTTCTACGTTTAGGAGAAAGAGAAGAATTAAATCTGACGGCCAACCGTTTGATGGGACGAACCCTCACCGTTGAAGTTTCAGTAGAAACAATTAGGAACCCCCAGCAGCAAGAATCCCTAAAGCATGCCACCAGGATCATTGATGAGGTGGTCAGTAAGTTTCTGGATGATCTGGGAAATGCCAAGAGTCACTTGATGTCACTATACAGTGCGTGTTCATCCGAGGTGCCACCTGGGCCTGTTGACCAGAAGTTTCAGTCCATAGTAATCGGCTGTGCTCTTGAAGATCAGAAGAAAATTAAGAGAAGATTAGAGACTCTGCTTAGAAATATTGAAAACTCTGACAAGGCCATCAAGCTGTTAGAGCATTCCAAAGGAGCTGGTTCCAAAACTCTGCAACAAAATGCAGAAGGCAAATTTAATTAGTTTTGAAACAGAGGAGCACTCACAAATAATGACATGAAAATGATTAAACATTAGTTCTTTGTGTTAGGTGTAACATTTGATACCGATTGTTGTTTCACATGAGGAAAATACTCCAGTGTCATCAGTTTTGTGAATAACACAATTAAAACTAGAAATATTTTAATTATCTTTCTAGAAGTTTTTAGATTGAATTCTTGTCTTGTATTAGGCTCTACCACCTAATATATATAATATATATTTTTTACTATACTGTGGATGAATATTTACTATATAGGAGAGAGTAACTGCCCAGCCAGGGCCAAAAGCATTCTTGTTCTTTCCTGGGCTTTGTCTGGCATGGAGACACTTGGGCACATGGGGCATTTGGTTAACTAGAAATCCTTGACCTTAAGCAGCACGCAAACTTACCACTCATCTACTATTAGCTAAATAGTGTGTTCAGAAGGACAAAAGGAATCACAAAATAAGAATCTTTCCCAATATCATCCTTTTCATAAAGCACTTTTTTTGGACATCTTTATCAAATTATTTTGAATTTCAGATTTATGCATCTGATAATATGAATATATTTCTTGATATATATATGAAAACATGACATAAAATGTGAGAGAATTCACATCTAATCTTATCACTGTGAACAACTATATGTCCACTTCATCTTTTTCCAAATACATCATTTCTCTAAATTTTTAATCATTACGGAAGTAGAATGTTGTAACTTGCCTTTTTAAAAAAATGCTGCTATAAAGTCTAGTTGTCAACTTTAAACCTCTTCTGTATAGTTGTATAATTTACTTCCCCACTCCCCTTACTAGACATTTAGGTTGTTTCCAATTTGTTGCTTATTCCTACAACATATTTATATACAGAGACTTTTTTCCTTCTTTCTTTTGTTTTTGATTTTCTTTGTATAAATTCCTAGTAGTGGGATTTACAGGGTCAAGGTTATATGCATTTTCCTGGCCTGACATATATCCAAATTTTTTTGTATGAGAGTTACGTCAATTTGTACTGTCTTTAGTAATTAAAATGTAGCTGTTTCACTAGAAGCTTTCCAGAGTTGAGCATTATTTTTCTAACATTAGATATGAAACACCTTAATTTTGTTTGCATTTCATTTCCTAGCAAGATTGACCAATGTAGGGCCCCTGGGTGGCTCAGTTGGTTAAGCGACTGCCTTCGGCTCAGGTCATGATCCCAGAGTCCTGGGATCGAGTCCCGCATCAGGCTTCCAGCTCCATGGGGAGTCTGCTTCTCCCTCTGATCTCCTCCCCTCTCATGCTCTCTCTCACTTCTCTCTCTCTCTCAAATAAATAAAATCTTAAAAAAAAAAAAAGATTGAACAGTGTATGGATTATTCTTTTATCTGTGATGCATGAAGCAACTATAGAACACTTTTATTTGTTTGAAGTAACTAGTGCTGTTGATACACAGAAACCTCAACTGCTCCTCAAATACTACTTCAAAAATGAATATATCAAATTCAGTCTTCATGAGAATGTAGGTATTCTTTCACACTGGGGGGAAGAAAAGTCAAGATCCAGATTGGCTTTATATATTTAGATCTCTCAATGCAAACAATATTGAGCTTCATTTTCTGGGCAAAAATGTCAAATTAGTCTCTCTTCATAAAAAGCAATTACAATCTGAGAACATTATGGTTTTGATTACCATTGCTAAGTCTGCCTCATCTAAATCTTTCCATTTCATGGGAAATAGTCATTCTCATTGATAACTGGCAAAGCCTCTTAATTTGTCTGTCAGTTGACTCTCATTTGCTATCATCAGGTTCACTGTCAGATAAAGGTTTTCTTTTTGTGCCATCTTTATCAGCTTCTTGAAAATTAAGAAGCAACAATTAAGTTTTCTTCAGGTTCTCAAGGACTGTCAGTATCTTTAAATCCCTTCCACTCTGGGAAATATTCCCCTCTCCCATTCACTCTATGTTAGCCTAGGACATTTTCTTTCTTCCTTTTTTTTTTTTTTTTAAAAGATTTTATTTAATTATTAGAGAGAGAGTCTAGCAGGGAGGAGAAGAAGGAGAAGCAGACTCCCTGTGGAGCAGGGAGCCCAACATGGGGCTCCATCCCAGGACCCTGGGATCATGACCTGAGCCCAAGGCAGCTGCTTAGCCGACTGACCCACCCAGGCACCCCAGCCTAGGACATATTCTACCACAAACTATTTGGGCTCTACCTCCTCAACTTTTGTACTCTTCACATTGTTCTCCCATTTTTTGCAATGGAGTTTTGTTGGAGGCCATTCTTTCTCACTGACCTGAAGAGCTGTGATCTACCATCTCCAAGCTGCCTCAGTCCCTAGCCTACAGCCAAGGGGATCAAGGAGCAGGGACCTGAATGTGTTGATTCTTAACATTTTTATTTATTATAAGAATGGAAGTGGGCCCCCTGCGTGGCTCAGACTGTTGAGCATACGAATCTTCTCTTCTTTTCTTTTTTTTTTTTTAAGATTTTATTTATTTATTTGACAGAGATCACAAGTAGGCAGAGAGGTAGGCAGAGAGAGAGGAAGGGAAGCAGTCTCCCTGCTGAGCAGAGAGCCCGATGTGGGGCTCGATCCCAGGACCCTGGGATCATGACCAGAGCCGAAGGCAGAAGTTTTAACCCACTGAGCCACCCAGGCACCCCCGAATCTTGTTTTCAGACCAGGTCATGACCTCAGGGTCATGAGATGGAGCCGCACCTTGGCTCTGAGCTCAGCACTGTCTGCTTAAGGTTCTCTCTCCCTCTTCCTCTGCCCCTTCCCTGCTCACTTTCTCTACCCCCATCCCTCAGATAAATAAATACTTTAAAAAAAAATTAATTTCTTTTTAAATGATGGAACTACCAAAAGTCACACTTTACTTTCATCTGTCTTCTTTTAGATAGATAATAGTTTGGGACTATAATGGAATTCGGAGTATATTATTTGTCTTTTAGTCACATGTTCCCTAAGAGCCCCATTCCAATTTCATACCCTATTTCTAGAACGGAGCATATGATCTTAGGGTAGCCCTGCTGCTGTCCCTCATGAGAACTGCTTCCCAGGACAATGTCCCCATTCCCACCCTGGCTCTTCTCTTCAGCTGGCAGGACCTGCCAAGGAGTTGACAGAACACTCAATGAGCATCAACTGAGGACAGAATGGCAATGCTGCCCAGTGTAAATCTGACAAATGTTGAATTGACCCTCCTCGAATTTTAATGTAGGAACCCTTGACATTAAAAAAAAAAAAAAAAAAAAAAGATGAAAAAAATCCTGAAAGCTTTCAGAAGGCTAGGAAGGAAGGAAGAGAGCTAACTGTAGTGAGTGTGACCTGGGCCTTGCCCCTGTGCTTCTTTCCTGGTGTTGCGAAGAGTACTGCATCCTCTAGGGGGCACTCTTCATACTGTCTTCCACGGGAATAAATGCCATCCTTCAGGGATACGTTAGCCATTAGCCGAGTGAGCTATTCTGCAGAGGAATGGGATGAGTGCAGACTGGATCCTCTGTATTGAGGCAGCTAGCACTCCGACTCAAAATGCTCAGAATTCACCCTAAAGAGATGATCAACTAATTAGAGAACTCTGCTTCAACACTTTAAAATTGCAAAGCATGGAAGAATTTAACAACCTCTGAAAGTAATAGGGTTAAGGATCCAGCAAACAATTACATGTGATGATTTTTAAGTAGCAAATACCCATGCATGTGTCCCTTTCAAATGACTGACTGTGACAAATGCTGATACATTTGGAGCGCACATATGTGATAATGCTATTTTTGAAGGCTGGATTTTGCAATTATTCAAAGACAAAAACGAAAGCAAAAGCTGAGAATTTTGGAAGAGAAAAGGCAACAAGGACAGTAGTGAGCTTGAACTTGTTTGTGTCTACTCAGAACAAGCAAGCAAATGAAATGGACCTCTGTTTAGGGACATGACCACATTCTTCAGTTTTCAGTCATGACCAAAGAGTAAGCAACTTGAATTGGGCCACACCAATCTTCAATTATCCAAATCAAACCACTAAGTATTGGCGGCACCTGGCTGACTCAGTCAATAAAGCATGCAACTCTTGATCTCAGGTTTGTGAGTTCAAGCCCCATGCTGGGTAATGAGCTTACTTAAAAACTTAACAAATTTTAAAAAACAAAACAAACAAACAAAAACAACTAAACTAAGTATTGTAGCAAGCATATTTCACTTGCATACAGTTGGCATTCGAATCACGATGGCATTCACTAACAGCTGTTTGGTGAGGGCCAATTTCAGTATCTAGTCCAGCTTTAATATGCAACTAAATTGGACACAATTTGTGCAGGAATTCAACAAAGGCTGTCAGAAAATATTGAAAAACCTGGCACTGGAAAACTGACCTAGAATTTGGATCCAGGCAGTATTATAAATACATCTCTAAATGTAATCACCAGACCTCGGGTCTAAAGAAGGCACAGCCCTAGGACAGAACACATGCAGCCGCTTTAAGCTTTGCTGCAGAAATACCTGGTGAGCTCCCAACTCTAGCTCTTTATCAGGCAAGGGCCCCAAGAATGCCCCTGACCTCCCCAGCTGTAAAGTTGGAATGATAATGCTCCTGTGAGTTAGAACTTTAAATGAGATGCAGTATGCAAGGTGCTTAGCATGGTGGCTCTCACAGAAAACACTTGTTAAATAAATTTGGACAGGGGGCACCTGGCTGGCTCAGTTGGTGGAGCATCCAACTCTTGATCTCAGCGTTGTGAGTTCGAGCCTCACATTGGGCGTAAGGATTGCTTTAAAAGAATTTGGGAGGGGGGGGGCACCTGGGTGGTTGAGTCAGTTAAGCATCTGCCTTCGGCTCAGGTCATGATCCGGGGGTGCTAGGATCAATTCCCGCCTTCGCCTCCCTGCTCAGCCAGGAATTTGCTTCTTCCTCTGCCTCTGCCTGCCTCTCTCTCTTTGTCAAATGAATAAAGTCTTAAAAAAAATTTTTTTTAATTCTATAGTTATTTTGTACAAGGCAAAGTAAATTTATTATTTACTCAAAATGGAAAAACTTTCCTTCAAGATAGAGGGGTCTTGGGTGATTCATTTATTTATTTTTTTAAAGATTTTATTTATTTACTTGACAGACAGGTAGAACACAAGTAGGCAGAGAGGCAGGCAGAGGGAGAGGGAGAGACAGGCTCTCCGCTGAGCAGGGAACCCAATGTGGGACTCGATCCCAGAACCTTGGGATCATGACCTGAGCCAAAGGCAGCCGCTTAACCGACTGAACCACCCAGGCGCTCTTGGGTGATTCATTTAGTTAAGCATTTAACTCCTGGTCTCAGCTCAGGTCTTGATCTCAGGGTTGTGAGCTCAAGCCCCACTCTAACCTTCATGCTGGGGTGTGGGACCTACATACATACATAAATAATAGAATTAGAAAAGAAACTTTATTTCCAAGACAAAATTATTTAAACCACAGTGCTACTAAATTGCATTAAATATCCACTATCAATAAAACCAGTATGCTAAATATTGGCAGAGTATCTAAAACATGAAATATTCATAAGATGTTTCAAAGTTTAAAGAAGTTACATTATACCTTTTACTATTTATTCCACACTGTTGATATAAATTACACCAAATTCTAGCTTTGAAATGTATTTATTTTTTGATTATTGGAATTCATCTTTCATGAAATTTTTATTAAGTAGTATATTTTAAATTAAGCTTGAGGACATAACTACAACC